GACAGTATTGTCTGTCAAACTACGAATGAGAACTTGCATTAAACCTGCATTAAAAGTCTTCTTGATTCAAATCCAGACTGTGCACAGCAGATTGGCAGTCCATCAACTTAACCTATTGCTGACATAACTCACACTTATGAAATTACATGCCAGTCTGTGGAGTCTGTGGAGAATAAAGGAGGATGTGATGCACATTGTTTGCCATTGCAATTCTAGCTTTTCATGTTTCTCCACCCACACTTGTTCTGTCTCATGGATCTGTCCAGAGCCTGTCACCTGTAGGCCTTGTATGTGTGAGACAGACTGCACCCAAGCCAGAGGTTGTTGTAAAGTGGAGGCAAAACAACCTGTCTGCGATGAGGGTGGGACTCCAACCCAGCGCGCAGAGCACAATGGATTAGCAGTCCATCGCCTTTAACCTCTCGGCCACCTCATACCGAAACCCTTTTCCCAGATCCTCACAAATAAAATTTTTGCCTAGCATGATACACTTTAACAAACATGTGTTGTGAAGGTCAGACTTTGACTGATCCCTGTTCCTCAAATCAGACATGGTACTCACTCACACCTGATTGTTATGCCATAGACTGAAAACACCTGACACTGATTTCCCCTTCAAACTAACAGCTCACGCTTATGCCCCAACTTGCTAGCACTTACTTTAAAACTGCAGTAAATGTGCTACAATTAGGGTGACTTTCAGCCGAGAAACATCGCAGGACTCACACAAAGTAAGTAATGACAAATACACAGATGAGACTGCCCCAAAGAGTAGCACTTATTGATGAAATCAGTGCTTCTATTTCAAGTAATCTAATTGTGCTTTATTTGGAAAGTATTGGCTATACCCGAGCATGGTCCACGACACTGTAGCTTAAGTGTGTCAGGATGGCCGAAGGGTCCGCGCTGCGTTCAGGTCGCAGTCTTCCCCTGGAGCGCGGGGGTTCAAATCCCATTTCTGACATTTGGTTCCTTTGCTGCACCTCTGATGAGGGGGTATTGGGCTGTTCCTGAGAGCTTGTTTAAATAAATGCCCCTGCATAGTTTGGAATTTCCTTTGCATAGTTTTTGGGTCTTTTAGTCAGGATGGTCGAGTGGTCTAAGGCGCTGTGTTAAGGTTTCTTCCATCAAAAGCTCATAGAAACTGCACAGGACAGTGGAGCAGTAAGAAGGTGGCTTGGTCTGAGGAATCACGTTTTCTTTCACATCATGTACAGCTTAGGGTTGGGGTTAGAAATGGCTTGAAAAGGCTTGTAAAGACGCTTGGCCAAGGAGTTGCACTTAAGCCGTGTCTTACGCTCCATTCCTGCTAAGGCTTGTAAAGACAGTCCGATAGAATGGTTAGGCCCGCCGCTCAGCCATTCACACTAAATGTAAGCTAACGACTAAAGTGTATTATCTCTCTTAACATACTAGAAATGTATTTAATGGTAAAAAGGGATATAAGGCTTGAAAAGGCTTGAAAAGACGCTTGGCCAAGGAGTTGCACTTAAGCCTTGTCTTACTCTCCATTCCTGCTAAGGCTTGTAAAGACGCTTGGCCAAGGAGTTGCACTTAAGCCTTGTCTTACGCTCCATTCCTGGTAAGGCTTGTAAAGACGCTTGGCACGTGGGAAATGACCAAAACATAAAAAAGCCAAGGAATTGCACTTAAGCCTCGTCTCATGGTTCTTTCGCGTGGTGTGCAAAAGAATAGAGCACCGGTGTTAGCAAACAGACTCCCCGTCGGGGAATCGAACCCCGGTCTTCCGCGTGACAGGCGGAGATACTGTCCACTATACTAACGAGGAAATCCTACTTACGCGCTGAAAGACGGTTGTGAGAGCGCCGAATCCTTACCACTAGACAACCAGGGACGAAAACCAAGAAAATGGTGGCCTCTACACTAGCTATGCTGGCCAGTTTCTTCCATCAAAAGCTCATAGAAACTGCACATGAGCATCAGCACAGGACAGTGGAGCAGTAAGAAGGTGGCTTGGTCTGAGGAATCATGTTTTCTTTCACATCATGTACAGCTTAGGGTTGGGGTTAGAAATGGCTTGAAAAGGCTTGAAAAGATGCTTGGCCAAGGAGTTGCACTTAAGCCCTGTCTTACGCTCCATTCCTGCTAAGGCTTGTAAAGACGGTCCAATAGAATGGTTAGGCCCGCCGCTCAACCATTCACACTAAATGTAAGCTAACGACTAAAGTGTATTATCTCTCTTAACATACTAGAAATGTATTTAATGGTAAAACGGGATATTTCCTGGAATTCCTGACTGCTACCGCTGGTGAGTGGAGTAGCTCCTTTGAGTTAAATGTTTTGTAACTGTGTTTTACGTCAAGTATTAAATGATGTGTATTAACCGTTGCACCCTTGAGCAGTAAGAAGGTGGCTTGGTCTGAGGAATCACGTTTTCTTTCACATCATGTACAGCTTAGGGTTGGGGTTAGAAATGGCTTGAAAAGGCTTGAAAAGACGCTTGGCCAAGGAGTTGCACTTAAGCCTTGTCTTACTCTCCATTCCTGCTAAGGCTTGAAAAGATGCTTGGCCAAGGTAAGAAGGTAAGAAGGTAAGAAGGTGGCTTGGTTATGCCATAGACTGAAAACACCTGACACTGATTTCCCCTTCAAACTAACAGCTCACGCTTATGCCCCAACTTGCTAGCACTTACTTTAAAACTGCAGTAAATGTGCTACAATTAGGGTGACTTTCAGCCGAGAAACATCGCAGGACTCACACAAAGTAAGTAATGTCAAATACACAGATGAGACTGCCCCCAAAAGAGTAGCACTTATTGATGAAATCAGTGCTTCTATTTCAAGTAATGTAATGGTGTTTTATTTGGAAAGTATTGGTTATACCCGAGCATGGTCCACGGCGCGTTAGCTTATGTGTGTCAGGATGGCACTGTGCATAGAAAGAACCAACTCCACTGCTTTGTTGCCGAAATACCTGAGCAGGGTCCCTAAGTGACGCCTATACTTTTCTCAAACAAATTGCATGGGAATACGTTCAGACATTGGTCGACGATGAAGCAAGGCTGTTTTATGTAGTTGTGGCCGAGTGGGTTAAGGCGGGACTAGAAATCCATTGGGGTCTCCCCGCGCAGGTTCGACTCCTGCCAACTACGTCTGAAGTTTGGTTTGCCTTTCAGACAGGCCAGTACTTGGCTAGCATTAGTGACAATCTTCCTCACTGTGCATTAATTGCTGTTCACAGTTGTTACATACCTGCTACTGAGAATTTGCCAATTGAACAAATGCAATGCTTTTCATTCTGAGTCCGGTGTCATTCCAATGAATGTTCAGGATCTGCCCAGCATCAAAATGGAAAGGGACAATAGCTCTGATGATAGTTCATGTGAAGAAAAAAACAAACAAACACACAGTTGGCAGAATAAATTTCACCAAATTCACTGGGAACAGTTCAACTTAATCTGTATGAAGTGAAAAAATGTCACCGTTTCAACATTTCATATAATTGCTGTCACTGAAAGGTATCAAGGCTTTCAGAAAATCACATTAAAACTGAAGTATATGTGATACAATTGGGGTAACATCCAGAGATACATTGCAGCAGTCACAGAAGACAGTAATTTCATATTATTGCTGTCACTGAAAGGTATCAAGGCTTTCAGAAAATCACATTAAAACTGAAGTATATGTGATACAATTGGGGTAACATCCAGAGATACATTGCAGCAGTCACAGAAGACAGTAAAGTCAAATACACAGATGAGACTGCCCCAACGAGAAGCACTTACGAATGTAATGCAAATCAAGTTGTCGTTCTATTTGAAGTAATCGAATTGTGATTTCTTTTGAAAGTATTGGATGTTGTCCAAACTGTTTAACGTTTAATACATTGTAAACAAAAATATAGTATCTTTAGTTGATTGAATCACCCAACATCACCCCAACAAATAGTACTTACCATTCAGGAAGGTCAGAGCCATTGATAGGATATCAACGGTGACAATAAGACAGATAGGTGGTCTACTTCTTTGCATCTTCTCCTGCCATGTTTACCATGACAAATGTAATCAGTGCATGCCTGCTTTCCTAGAAGTTGTCCACTGAGAGTTTACCAGTTGACCACTTTTTCATTCTGAGGGGCCTGAGTCAAGTGATGTTCATTGCAATGCTTGGAGTCTGATCGTAAATTGAGATGATTCACAGTCCAACCCACAGAAGCCAATGTGACAATAGAAGTGATGATGGCAGATCACTCCTTGTGAATGAACCAGGTCATTCACACGTTGACAGGCAGTTATCACGCTAGGTTGAGAGTAGGTACACAGCCAAATGATGCTCTCACTGATGTATTAAAAAGTATTGCTCTAAGAGATTTCAACACATGTTTCACTAAGCATATGTGCAAGAATTTTAATAGATATTTATAAAGAGAAACACTTTAGTTAGAATCTCAACTACAATGAATGTGATTATAGTTTCACACTCCACATTTGTGGTGTCCAAATTCACTGAAAGTTGCCCCAGCTTGTTAGCACTTACTTGAAAACTGCAGTAAATGTGCTACAATTAGGGTGACTTTCAGCCGAGAAACATCGCAGGACTCACACAAAGTAAGTAATGTCAAATACACAGCTGAGACTGCCCCAAAGAGTAGCACTTATTGATGAAATCAGTGCTTCTATTTCCTGTAATGTAATGGTGTTTAATTTGGACAGTATTGTCTGTCAAACTACGAATGAGAACTTGCATTAAACCTGCATTAAAAGTCTTCTTGATTCAAATCCAGACTGTGCACAGCAGATTGGCAGTCCATCAACTTAACCTATTGCTGACATAACTCACAGTTATGAAATTACATGCCAGTCTGTGGAGTCTGTGGAGAATAAAGGAGGATGTGATGCACATTGTTTGCCATTGCAATTCTAGCTTTTCATGTTTCTCCACCCACACTTGTTCTGTCTCATGGATCTGTCCAGAGCCTGTCACCTGTAGGCCTTGTATGTGTGAGACAGACTGCACCCAAGCCAGAGGTTGTTGTAAAGTGGAGGCAAAACAACCTGTCTGCGATGAGGGTGGGACTCGAACCCACGCGTGCAGAGCACAATGGATTAGCAGTCCATCGCCTTAACCTCTCGGCCACCTCATCCGAAAGCCTTTTCCCAGATCCTCACAAATAAAATTTTTGCCTAGCATGATACACTTTAACAAACATGTGTTGTGAAGGTCAGACTTTGACTGATCCCTGTTCCTCAAATCAGACATGGTACTCACTCACACCTGATTGTTATGCCATAGACTGAAAACACCTGACACTGATTTCCCCTTCAAACTAACAGCTCACGCTTATGCCCCAACTTGCTAGCACTTACTTTAAAACTGCAGTAAATGTGCTACAATTAGGGTGACTTTCAGCCGAGAAATACGCAGGACTCACACAAAGTAAGTAATGACAAATACACAGATGAGACTGCCCCAAAGAGTAGCACTTATTGATGAAATCAGTGCTTCTATTTCAAGTAATCTAATTGTGCTTTATTTGGAAAGTATTGGCTATACCGGAGCATGGTCCACGACACTGTAGCTTAAGTGTGTCAGGATGGCCGAGCGGTCTGTAAGGCGCCACGTTCAGGTCGCAGTCTCCCCCTGGAGGCGTGGGTTCAAATCCCATTTCTGACATTTGGTTCCTTTGCTGCACCTCTGATGAGGGGGTATTGGGCTGTTCCTGAGAGCTTGTTTAAATAAATGCCCCTGCATAGTTTGGAATTTCCTTTGCATAGTTTTTTGGGTCTTTTAGTCAGGATGGTCGAGTGGTCTGCGGCGCGCGTGTTAAGGTTTCTTCCATCAAAAGCTCATAGAAACTGCACAGGACAGTGGAGCAGTAAGAAGGTGGCTTGGTCTGAGGAATCACGTTTTCTTTCACATCATGTACAGCTTAGGGTTGGGGTTAGAAATGGCTTGAAAAGGCTTGTAAAGACGCTTGGCCAAGGAGTTGCACTTAAGCCGTGTCTTACGCTCCATTCCTGCTAAGGCTTGTAAAGACAGTCCGATAGAATGGTTAGGCCCGCCGCTCAGCCATTCACACTAAATGTAAGCTAACGACTAAAGTGTATTATCTCTCTTAACATACTAGAAATGTATTTAATGGTGGAAAAAGGGATATAAGGCTTGAAAAAGGCTTGAAAAGACGCTTGGCCAAGGAGTTGCACTTAAGCCTTGTCTTACTCTCCATTCCTGCTAAGGCTTGTAAAGACGCTGGGCCAAGGAGTTGCACTTAAGCCTTGTCTTACGCTCCATTCCTGGTAAGGCTTGTAAAGACGCTTTGGTCGCGGGAAATGACCAAAACATAAAAAGCCAAGGAATTGCACTTAAGCCTCGTCTCATGGTTCTTTCGCGTGGTGTGCAAAAGAATAGAGCACCGGTGTTAGCAAACAGACTCCCGTGGGGAATCGAACCCGGTCTTCCGCGTGACAGGCGGAGATACTGTCCACTATACTAACGAGGAAATCCTACTTACGCACTGAAAGACGGTTGTGAGAGCGGCGAATCCTTACCACTAGACAACCAGGGATGAAAACCAAGAAAATGGTGGCCTCTACACTAGCTATGCTGGCCAGTTTCTTCCATCAAAGCTCATAGAAACTGCACATGAGCATCAGCACAGGACAGTGGAGCAGTAAGAAGGTGGCTTGGTCTGAGGAATCATGTTTTCTTTCACATCATGTACAGCTTAGGGTTGGGGTTAGAAATGGCTTGAAAAGGCTTGAAAAGATGCTTGGCCAAGGAGTTGCACTTAAGCCCTGTATTCCAATGCCATTCCTGCTAAGGCTTGTAAAGACGGTCCGATAGAATGGTGAGGGCCCGCCGCTCAACCATTCACACTAAATGTAAGCTAACGACTAAAGTGTATTATTATCTCTCTTAACATACTAGAAATGTATTTAATGGTAAAAGGATATTTCCTGGAATTCTTGACTGCTACCGCTGGTGAGTGGAGTAGCTCCTTTGAGTTAAATGTTTTGTAACTGTGTTTTTACGTCAAGTATTAAATGATGTGTATTAACCGTTGGACCCTTGAGCAGTAAGAAGGTGGCTTGGTCTGAGGAATCATCCGTTTTCTTTCACATCATGTACAGCTTAGGGTTGGGGTTAGAAATGGCTTGAAAAGGCTTGAAAAGACGCTTGGCCAAGGAGTTGCACTTAAGCCTTGTCTTACTCCCATTCCTGCTAAGGCTTGTAAAGACGCTTGGCCAAGGAGTTGCACTTAAGCCTTGTCTTACGCTCCATTCCTGGTAAGGCTTGTAAAGACGCTTAGCACGTGGGAAATGACCAAAACATAAAAAGCCAAGGAATTGCACTTAAGCCTTGTCTCATGGTTCTTTCGCGTGGTGTGCAAAAGAATAGAGCACCGGTGTTAGCAAACAGACCTCCCGGCGGGAATCGAACCCCGGTCTTCCGCGTGACAGGCGGAGATACTGTCCACTATACTAACGAGGAAATCCTACTTTACGCCGTGAAAGACGGTTGGCACTTTGGATAGCATCAAACATAAACGATAAAACCATAAATGATCCAAGAAATTGCACTTAAGCCTTGTCCTGTGCCCCATACCCGTGATGGCCAACAGAATATGGCACTGGACTTGAACTGCACTGGGGCTTTACCTGTGCAAGTTGAAGCCTGCTATGAACCTGAGTCTTAATGCAGAGAATCTTTATGAAGATGAGCAACAAAGCACCATGGCATTCATCAAACAAGCTCGTGCCAAACACATCTTCCATCCTGGGAAATTGCATTGACGTAAAGGAAGTCAAACTAATCCTGCTTTGAGACAATGTCCACTGTAAAAAGCGCTACACAAATAAAATTGATTTGAACTGAATCGAATGTGTACATGTAAAGTTGTAAATGGTCTAGTTACTTAATTGAAGTAAATGTATTGAAGAAGGGCAGAAACATGAGAATATAAAGATGCACAAACACGTTTATTGGCTCCAGAAAAAATAGTCTAGTGTTTCCTTAAATCACTTTACCTGACCGGAATCGAACCGGGCCGCGGGCGGTGAGCGCTCGAATCCTTACCACTAGACAACCAGGGACGAAAACCAAGAAAATGGTGGCCTCTACACTAGCTATGCTGGCCAGTTTCTTCCATCAAAAGCTCATAGAAACTGCACATGAGCATCAGCACAGGACAGTGGAGCAGTAAGAAGGTGGCTTGGTCTGAGGAATCACGTTTTCTTTCACATCATGTACAGCTTAGGGTTGGGGTTAGAAATGGCTTGAAAAGGCTTGAAAAGATGCTTGGCCAAGGAGTTGCACTTAAGCCCTGTCTTACGCTCCATTCCTGCTAAGGCTTGTAAAGACGGTCCAATAGAATGGGGTTCGGCCCGCCCGCAACCATTCACACTAAATGTAAGCTAACGACTAAAGTGTATTATCTCTCTTAACATACTAGAAATGTATTTAATGGTAAAACGGGATATTTCCTGGAATTCCTGACTGCTACCGCTGGTGAGTGGAGTAGCTCCTTTGAGTTAAATGTTTTGTAACTGTGTTTTACGTCAAGTATTAAATGATGTGTATTAACCGTTGCACCCTTGAGCAGTAAGAAGGTGGCTTGGTCTGAGGAATCACGTTTTCTTTCACATCATGTACAGCTTAGGGTTGGGGTTAGAAATGGCTTGAAAATGCTTGAAAATCGCTTGGCCAAGGAGTTGCACTTAAGCCTTGTCTTACGCTCCATTCCTGGTAAGCCTTGTAAAGACGCTTGGCCAAGGAGTTGCACTTAAGCCGTGTCTTACGCTCCATTCCTGCTAAGGCTTGTAAAGACAGTCCGATAGAATGGTTAGGCCCGCCGCTCAGCCATTCACACTAAATGTAAGCTAACGACTAAAGTGTATTATCTCTCTTAACATACTAGAAATGTATTTAATGGTAAAAGGGATATTTCCTGGAATTCCTGACTGCTACCGCTGGTGAGTGGAGTAGCTCCTTTGAGTTAAATGTTTTGTAACGTGTTTTACGTCAAGTATTAAATGATGTGTATTAACCGTTGTACCCCTTGAGCAGTAAGAAGGTGGCTTGGTCTGAGGAATCACGTTTTCTTTCACATCATGTACAGCTTAGGGTTGGGGTTAGAAATGGCTTGAAAAGGCTTGAAAAGACGCTTGGCCAAGGAGTTGCACTTAAGCCTTGTCTTACTCTCCATTCCTGCTAAGGCTTGTAAAGACGCTTGGCCAAGGAGTTGCACTTAAGCCTTGTCTTACGCTCCATTCCTGGTAAGGCTTGTAAAGACGCTTGGCACGTGGGAAATGACCAAAACATAAAAAGCCAAGGAATTGCACTTAAGCCTTGTCTCATGGTTCTTTGTTCCGTTGGGTGGTGCAAAAGAATAGAGCACCGGTGTTAGCAAACAGACTCCCCGCGGGGAATCGAACCCCGTTCTTCGCCCGGACAGGCGGAGATACTGTCCACTATACTAACGAGGAAATCCTACTTACGCGCTGAAAGAGCGGTTGGCACTTTGGATAGCATCAAACATAAACGATAAAACCATAAATGATCCAAGAAATTGCACTTAAGCCTTGTCCTGTGCCCCATACCCGTGATGGCCAACAGAATATGGCACTGGACTTGAACTGCACTGGGGCTTTACCTGTGCAAGTTGAAGCCTGCTATGAACCTGAGTCTTAATGCAGAGAATCTTTATGAAGATGAGCAACAAAGCACCATGGCATTCATCAAACAAGCTCGTGCCAAACACATCTTCCATCCTGGGAAATTGCATTGACGTAAAGGAAGTCAAACTAATCCTGCTTTGAGACAATGTCCACTGTAAAAAGCGCTACACAAATAAAATTGATTTGAACTGAATCGAATGTGTACATGTAAAGTTGTAAATGGTCTAGTTACTTAATTGAAGTAAATGTATTGAAGAAGGGCAGAAACATGAGAATATAAAGATGCACAAACACGTTTATTGGCTCCAGAAAAAATAGTCTAGTGTTTCCTTAAATCACTTTACCTGACCGGAATCGAACCGCGGGCCCGCGCGTGAGAGCGCCGAATCCTTACCACTAGACAACCAGGGACGAAAACCAACAAAATAGGGGGCTCTACACTAGCTATGCTGGCCAGTTTCTTCCATCAAAGCTCATAGAAACTGCACATGAGCATCAGCACAGGACAGTGGAGCAGTAAGAAGGTGGCTTGGTCTGAGGAATCACATTTTCTTTCACATCATGTACAGCTTAGGGTTGGGGTTAGAAATGGCTTGAAAAGGCTTGAAAAGATGCTTGGCCAAGGAGTTGCACTTAAGCCCTGTCTTACGCTCCATTCCTGCTAAGGCTTGTAAAGACGGTCCAATAGAATGGTTAGGCCCGCTGCTCAACCATTCACACTAAATGTAAGCTAACAACTAAACTGTATTATCTCTCTTAACATACTAGAAATGTATTAAATGGTAAAACAGGATATTTGCTGGAATTACTGACTGCTACCGCTGGTGAGTGGCGTAGCTCCTTTGAGTTAAATGTTTTGTAACTGTGTTTTACGTCAAGTATTAAATGATGTGTATTAACCGTTGCACCCTTGAGCAGTAAGAAGGTGGCTTGGTCTGAGGAATCACGTTTTCTTTCACATCATGTACAGCTTAGGGTTGGGGTTAGAAATGGCTTGAAAAGGCTTGAAAAGACGCTTGGCCAAGGAGTTGCACTTAAGCCTTGTCTTACTCTCCATTCCTGCTAAGGCTTGTAAAGACGGTCCAATAGAATGGTTAGGCCCGCTGCTCAACCATTCACACTAAATGTAAGCTAACAACTAAACTGTATTATCTCTCTTAACATACTAGAAATGTATTAAATGGTAAAACAGGATATTTGCTGGAATTACTGACTGCTACCGCTGGTGAGTGGCGTAGCTCCTTTGTGTTAAATGTTTTGTAACTGTGTTTTACGTCAAGTATTAAATGATGTGTATTAACCGTTGCACCCTTGAGCAGTAAGAAGGTGGCTTGGTCTGAGGAATCACGTTTTCTTTCACATCATGTACAGCTTAGGGTTGGGGTTAGAAATGGCCGAGTGTAGCGAAAAGACGCGTGGCCAAGGAGTTGCACTTAAGCCCTGTCTTATGCTCCATTCCTGCTAAGGCGCTTGTAAGCACGGTCCAATAGAATGGTTAGCGGCCGCCGCTTAAGCCTTGTCCTGTGCCCCATACCCGTGATGGCCAACAGAATATGGCACTGGACTTGAACTGCACTGGGGCTTTACCTGTGCAAGTTGAAGCCTGCTATGAACCTGAGTCTTAATGCAGAGAATCTTTATGAAGATGAGCAACAAAGCACCTTGGCATTCATCAAACAAGCTCGTGCCAAACACATCTTCCATCCTGGGAAATTGCATTGACGTAAAGGAAGTCAAACGAATCCTGCTTTGAGACAATGTCCACTGTAAAAAGCGCCACACAAATAAAATTGATTTGAACTGAATCGAATGTGTACATGTAAAGTTGTAAATGGTCTAGTTACTTAATTGAAGTAAATGTATTGAAGAAGGGCAGAAACATGAGAATATAAAGATGCACAAACACGTTTATTGGCTCCAGAAAAAATAGTCTAGTGTTTCCTTAAATCACTTTGCCGCTTTGCTTGTGAAGAGCAAAAATCGAATAGAAAATCGATCTCGTTTGCTAGCTCACTTATCAAAGATAACTATAAAATACTTTATATTATAAAATACTATTAGTAACCCATAATTAACTAAATGGTCTCGCGCCGCAGTATCTAAGCGACCTTTTGCTTTTCTATGATCCGCCACGCCTACTTAGATCAAAAGATGCAGGCTATTTGTTCGTACTCGCAATAGCGAAGGCTACAACAGGAGGATGAGCTTTCTCTTCTGGAGCCCCACACTTATGGAACAGTCTTCCAATTAGAGTTCGGGACTCAGGCACAGTCTCAGTGTCTAGGCTTTAATCGTATTTGTTTAATCAAGCCTACCCTGACTAGATTTCTCTTATGCTAAGCACAGTCCTAGTTTTTTTCTCTCCCTCCCTCCTTCTGTCGAGCCACACCCGATTTTATGGAGATACTAGAGATCCTGATCCCCTCTGCTCTCTGGACCTACCTGATCCATTTTGGATGGCCTACCTCTGGATGGAGCTCTCATCTACTCCAATTCCAGATTGCTGGGACTACAGCTGCTTCTAAGGCCAAAGAGACCCATATGAATCCCTAATCATCTTTTTCACACTATCTGATGTTACCCAGATGAGGATAGGTTCCCTTCTGATTCTGGTTCCTCTCAAGGTTTGTTCCTCTTAACATCTTAGGGAGTTTTTCCTTGCCACCGTCACCACTTAGTGGCTTGCTCAGTTGAGATAAATTCGCACCTTATATATCGATATACCGAATGGTTTTATAGATATACATGGATTGAGCTCGCTTCACCTCCTATAGCTCAGTTGGTAGAGCGGAGGACTGTAGGTACTTAAACTAGTCATCCTCAGGTCACTGGTTCCAATCCGGCTTCGGCGGACGGATTTCTCTGTGTGATATGGTTTCTTTTAAATGTTAATTTGGCCAGCGGTGGATAAAACACCATTCCCTGACCGGAATCGAACCCGGCCGCGAGGCGCCGAATCCTTACCACTAGACAACCAGGGACGAAAACCAAGAAAATGGTGGCCTCTACACTAGCTATGCTGGCCAGTTTCTTCCATCAAAAGCTCATAGAAACTGCACATGAGCATCAGCACAGGACAGTGGAGCAGTAAGAAGGTGGCTTGGTCTGAGGAATCA